CGTGACTTGAGTCAAATATTTTCAGAAGCTTTAGACTACAGTTTGTTGTAGTTTTATTTCCAAACAGAACTTGTGTCAGGGTTTTAGGCGGCTTCACTCACACCAGAACTTTTTCACCCCACAGAACATGGCGCAGTCAGCATTATAACTGCACAGTCCGAATCGTGTTCTCATGCTTCTCCTTTTTCAGTCTAAATGTGGCAATGACAGTCATTAAGGTTAAATGCTTACACAGTTTCAGCAGACCACAGAACTTCTTTAAAAATGAAGCGTTTTGTTCATTAGCTCAGTTCCAAGCAGTAATCTGTCTTTTGGAGCAGTGGCTTCTTCCTCTCAGAGGCGTTTCAGACGATTCGTTTTACTGCAGATGACGCAAACCAGTTTCAGACGCCGTCTTCACAACTTCTTTTTATTGATCTAGACTAGGTTCATATCATATTTATATTTCGCACAGAATCATGTTTTTCTCTATAACACAGAAACCTTCTACTTCCTTTTTTTTTTTAAAGGATTTATTGGCTCTAGTGGCCTTTATTTGATAGTGAATTGACAGGAAAGAGTTATATGAGAATATGACGTTAGATATATTCTCCTGAATACGTGTTTCTGCATTAAATCCATAATAACCATGTATGTCAGTTATCTATGCAGACAGTAAAATAAAAATGCTTTTAATTCTACTAAACTCTTAGATTTGCTTTTTAACAAAAACTAATTTTAATCTTAGTTGAGTTTCCAAATAATTATTAAGTATTGAACAAGAATGCAGAGTACTTATACTGGAAAATGATCTAATGTAGGAGATTAACCGATCGGCCCACAATCTCTGGTTTTCTTTGTGGAGCGATTTTCCGATCATCAACCAGAACCGCTGCTGGGAAAACTGGTCTATTTCAATCACTGGCTGATTGACTCTATTTACTGCGGTCTGAACCATTCATACATATACACACACACACATATATATATATATATATATATATATATATATATATACACACACGCCGTGTGAGTGTGTCTTTGAGGCTCACTGCTGTCGTAGATGGGATTGTTGACAGAAAAGTGTGCTCACTTTTCTGTTGATAAAAAATTGGCAATGTATAGAGTCATATTTCAACAATTTTAATTTGCTTTCCAATGAGGCTCGTTTGTCAGTAGCTTCTAAAAAGAACCTTAAGCAGATATTAAACAAACTTTTCATTAAGCCCACATTTCTATATTGAAAATGTTTTTCATTGAAATAATATTTTAGTATTAAATGTTGTGTTTTCATCGACTGTCAGCAGAATGAACAGAAGTTAAGGCCTTTAACCATCAGTCTAGTCCTGGAAATAAAGGAACTTTTCAATAATATTCTAATTTATTGAATAGGACTGCATGTAGACAGACAAAATTTTGCTGTGAAAATAGTTAGAAATCCTTCAGGGGATCTCATCGTTTTTTTATTATTTTTTTTAATGCTTGTTAAAGATAAGGGGGAAAAACCACAACAAAACCCAAATGAAAAATAAATGTTTAAATATTTCAAATTCCCAAAATAGCAATAAAATATTGCTGTTGGCAATGTAACAGAATGTACTGTTTAAATATACCTAAAGTACAACAATGATTAGTTGGACTGAAAATTTGTCAAAATATCTGAACTGAGCAAAATTGACCAGATTGAACTGATCTGATATCAATGTTTTCGATATTGTCCTGTGACGATACCTGTGACATATCGTCACAGACTATATCTACAACATAGATATTGTTTTAGATACCATTGCTTAAATATTTTAAATGGAAAAATTTCATTTTTACAATTCTTATGCTAACGGTAATAGTCAGAACCATATTAGAACACTTTGCTGTGGCTGTTGCGTTACTGAAAATGTTTTCTGAAGCGCGTACTGACAGTACTATGAATTTCAGCTGAAATGGTAACAGGTTTTTACGTCCATCCGCCATCTTCTCATTTAACTCGGTGGCAGTGAGAATGTCGCCTCTTTCCACAGAATATTTACTTTAAATAAACCTTCTGCTTCCTTTATATATTCAGTGTGAGATGAGCTTCTGAAGTTCTGATGGGCCAAATAAAACCTCACAGTTCTGAGCTGAACATCCTCAGTTTAACACTTCATAAATACTAAAATAACAGAAAACATGGCATCCTTCCTGACTGAACTAAAGTGGCAATTCATCCACCTCACAGCTAAGGTCTGTTTTTTTTTTTTTTTTTAATTAATCCAGAAGCTACAGTATGAGACGCTCTGCTGCTTCCTTCCCACTTTCTTTCTTCTCTGTTGAAATCCAGGAAGTGGAGCACTTCCCTACAGCCTTAGGTCATATGATGGACGTCCACAAGTGACTCACTTCCAGTCGCACTCCTCTTGCTTTCAGACACAGCTACAGCCATCAGGATGGAGCTGCGTTTGGTGACGGAGCAGATTAGACCAATGTCGGCTTCAGTGACGTGAAGCCGCTCCATCAGCACTGCTGATCTCTCTGTGGCGATATCGCCCTTCCTTTTCCAACATCGCTTCCTTCAGAGTAAACAACCAACACCTAAAATAGCCCTGCATTAATGTGTGTAATACCTGAACACACATCCCAACAAATTCACAACTGTTACCACGAAGCAGAGTGTTAGCGTTTTGGTTTTGATCAGACCAGAAAAACGGGTAAATGGCATAAAAAACATAACTCAACACATGATTTCAATTTTGAAAAGATGTTATAATGCGTTAGAGAGGAGTTTGTCTCTCATCGTGGCGTAGAGCAATTAAAAATAAATAAATAAATAAAAATAGGCCACCAAGAGCTGTGGTTTGGAATAATTTAAAAAAAATCCATTTCTGAGAGGTTAGAGGCCGTTTTATGTACTTTTCATTCTCTTATTTTATTGATTTTTTTTTTTTTAATGTGATCTGGACTTAAAGTCTGCAATAAAATCTAAACACATCTAACATACAGATTATTTACTGCGCCTGAGGAACCATTTTATAACTATACAACTAATCTTATCGATCCGCCGACATTTTACTTCACCATCATGAGGAAACATGCAGGAAGTGCAGAAATGTGAAAATCTGACAAGATAACTGATATTTCAAACTACACTTACTTTATATTTAATGGTTTTATCACAAATAAAATCGACACATTTCATGTTTTCTTCCAGTGTTTGTGGCCGACTATAAACATGTTGAAACATAAGATACTGATCAGTTTTGGTTTTTATTTTGTTCTTGGTTTATTGGTTTTGCTTCTCGAAAACTAACACAAACAGAACAAGTTGAGCTTTTTAATCCCAATAAATGACAAATGTGGAGATAAATATGCAGTGAGATGAGATTAATAATCTGTCAGGATGTGGATAAAATGAACGAGTCAAGCTGTGATGGGGTTTTTTTCTGCTGGTTTACAGTCAGCACCATTAGTTTCCCTTTTCACAGGAACTGAGTCCGTTGCATCCACCGAGCGCAACGGGGCCGAATGTCGCCAGAACCTCAGATTATCTGCCAGCATAAACTAAACACAAACTTAAAAAAATAACAAAATAAAATAAAATAAAATAAAATAAAATATGTGATCTGCTTCTGGAGTTTGTTTCTGTCTGATGTGTTTTCCTGTCTGGTTAACCAGAACTCAGTCGCTCAATCTAACACACACACACATCAAAGAGGTCAGTGCTCCGAACTCACCGGCTCTGCCGAAACACATCCAGAGAGGGACGGCGGCCAGCAACCGACTCCCGGCCCTCGCTCCCATGGTGACGGGCTGAAACGTGGCTGAAACACGAACTGGAGCAGCAGCAGCAGCAACAGCAGACGCTGGGCGATGCTTTCCTCTGTCTGTCTCGGCACTCGGGTGTTGCGTACCTCACAGCTACGAGGGGAAGTTGTGGTCTGAGCTCGAAGTCCATTTCTCTCAGATCTCATCAGACCACTCCCCCCCCTCCCCTACCCACCCCAGCTAGAAAACACCAACCCAGAGGAAAAGAGGCACCAGCTGAGGCTGTTGGGTTTGACATAATCTAAACTCTGAAGTGTGAGGAAACGAAGCGATGTTCAGACAGGAAGAACGAGGAGATAAAAGGTTTATTAAGTAGATTTAAGTATTATACATGTGTGATTGGATGGTGACTGGATCCAACAGAAAACAAGAAGCACATTGTGCATCAGCAGCGTTAACGGTCAACCTCCCCGAACACGATGTCCTGAGTTCCTGAGGGGAGAAAACAGAGACAGAGAGAGATGAGGCTGAGCGAGGTGGAACTTTATGACCGCTTCTGCTTTTCTAACGATGAAAACAACCCGGTTCTCACCGATAATGGCCACCACGTCTGCCAACATGTGACCTTGGGCCATTTTATCCAGACCGGCCTAGACAGAAACACAAGTTAATATCTGCACCAACAGCGCCCTCTACGCCTCCAGAGCAGCTTTAACAACTTCTTTTTTTTATTTTATTATTATTCATGACTAAACAGCCTGGAGTCTCTCCACTAACTGCACTAATAGTTTGTTTATCCAGTTGAAAAGACAGTTTTGCCCTAAAAGCCACCAGTTAAACGTGCTAAGCTGCTTCATGTAGCCGTCAGCTAAAAGTGATTCAAAAACATTTGGGGAAAAGTCAGGAGTTGGAAGCAGCCTGGAGGACAAGCGGTTAAATATTCTAAATTATTGATCAGGAGGCGTTATTATTTGATTCTGCATAATGCTGTACGCACCAAGTGAGCGAATCCTGGAGCTTTGATCTTACAGCGATACGGCCTGCTGGAACCGTCTGATACTAGATATACACCAAACTCCCCCTGCAACACACACATACACAAACACACACAGTTGATACACCGCACCGGTTGGAAATAAACTGTGGTTAGAATGTCATCTGTGCTGACATTCTAACCAGTAGTTCAATACCTGTCAGTATTGAACTACTGACAGGTTCAATATTGAATAGAGTTATAGAAAAAAAAACAGAAAAGGAAGAGTAAATTATTAAGTGTAATGTGGTTTCTATGGAAATTCAACCAGAGTTACTAAACAACGGTTCAGAACAAACCAGCAGAGCACCGATTGCAGTGTTCTGATCTTTAAAAGGTCTGATTTGGGATAAGATCAGTTTCACATGCAGGTATTTTTTGTCAGCAATGAAACGATTTTGGGAAATTGACTGATCGCAGATTTCTCAAATTTTTTTTTTTTTTCCAATTTATCACAGCACTTTGAGATCAGACCACATTTGTGTGTTAGAATGGTTCAGTCAAAGTCCAAACCATTTGAAAACTCCTCTTCACATAATCTCTTCATCAAATCTAGTGTTATGTTTGTATGCATAGCTACTATTCACAAAACTAGGGTAAAAAAAATGCTGATTCAGGATTGAATACACAGGCACGCCACACTTTTCAGACTTAACAGTTTTTAAAACCATTCATTTACTTTCACTTCATAATAATCACACACCATCTATTGCTTTATCACATAAAATTCCAATAAAATATGTGTTTTGTGGTGTTAACTTGAGAACTCACAGTCAAAGGAGTGTGAACAAGCAGTGATGGAGGACAGTAACAGCAGCCACAAACTTTACAGTTAAACACACTGAGTGTGTATTTGAGCAGTTCCATTACCAACTAGAGACCAATTATTAATAGTTATCAATCATATGTGTCGGTATTTAAAAAATATTTCAAGATAGTATAATTAATGAAGACTGTAGACTCTCTCTAAAAACATAAATGCTGACTAATATTAGCACTTTATTGGGTTTTTGCTACTAAACAAAGTTAAGAGTAAATCAGTCCACAGTAAACCACTATTCACTCTGTTCATGGTTCAGTATTTAGGGATTTTTCCGTGGAATGCAACTTCAAGATATTCCTGGAATGATTTCCAGGAATATTTTGGAATATTCTCTGAAATATTCCAAAGGACAAACGAAATGCACCTTGGGAAACCAAAACCTGAGTAAAGCGTTTCAGTCTTAATCAGCTATGGTGAGTAAAATCATCATAATTACCATGGAGAATGTTGGTTTAGGACTTAGAAAATCAAGAAAAAGTGAAATAAAACACAACCTAAACGTGACCCAGCATGAGGGGCCTCACCTTTGGAGCCTCCACAGCCGTGTATGTGGCCCCTGGGGGCACCTGGTAGCCCTCAGTGTAGAGCTTGAAATGATGGATCAGAGACTCCATGGACATCTGAGAGGAACAGGGGGAAAAACACAAACAGAGTTACATCCCTGAAGCTTCGTTCTGCTTATTAAAGTGAGTTTATCAGCAAAACTGATCAGAACTCGGATCAGGAATCCAAACAGATCCATCCGCTCCACCTACCTTCATCTCAGACCTCTTAGGTGGAGCCACCTTGGCGTCATCCACCTTTATCTCCCCCTCTGGCATCTTGTTGAGGGCCTGCAGTATGATTCTGAGGGACTGCCTCATCTCCTCCACCCGGCACAGATACCTGCACACACACACACAAAAACGCATAGAAAAAAAATTCAGGAGTTTATAACGAGTAATATTTCTCTCCACATCAATTTATCCTCCCAATAACTGAAGAGAACTTAAGAGTTCTATTTCACCACGACACAACTAATCCAAGCAGAAACAGAAAAGAAGAAAGTTCTAGAATGGTGTTCTTTTTCTTTTTCTAGACTTTAGCTCATCATTTTTCTGGTTTTTCGATGATTAGTTCCTCTGGTTTTGGATGCTGTGCAGCTAGAAGATGTTTTGCTTTTACTATTTTTGTTTCAACATGTGGTTAAAATGCATAACCATGGCAACAAAGTGTTGCTTTTTCAACTTGGAGGGGCTGATAAGCATCTAAAAAGCTCAAATAATGTCTGAACTATGAAAACTCCAAAGAGAAGGAGGAAGTTCAAATCATCGATCAGAATGGATAAAGGTTCAGATGCCCTACTCCAACATCTCTATGCCTGAATTTCTAATCAGAGAAAGGAGCAGAAAAAGTAAACAAGGTGGATTAGCAGTGATGGTGCTGCCTGGAAAGTCTTCATCTTTAGATTCGCTGCGTCACCATTGAAGGTACGAGTTTCGACAACGTTTCATTTCCCTTTGGGATAAATCAAATGTTTTTGAATTAAACTGAAAACAAGCCGACATAAACCAGCATAGAGTCGTTCTTTACCTGTCGTAGCAATCTCCGTTGGATCCAATTGGAACATCAAACTCCACTTCGTCGTATTTGTCATACGACTGGGACTTCCTCAGGTCCCACTTGATTCCCGACCCACGCAGCATCACTCCGCTGGTAAAGATGTGACATAAAGACGTCAGCCACCCATAGAGCTGCAGAGTCCCAACTTTAATCAGAGGCTTACCTGAAGCCGTAGTTGAGGGCGTCCTCATGGCTGACCACCCCGATGTTCACAGTACGGTTCTTCCAGATCCGATTGTTGGTCAACATCTGGGCAGACAGAAGCCAACATGGCCCTGCGGTCAGTTCTCTCTGCTCTACAGCTGATAATCAACATTTACTTGTTCAGATTTGGGTTACCTCTTCCACTTCATCAATCCTCAGGGAGAAATTCTTGCCCCACTCATAGATGTCATCCATGAGGCCAAGGGGTAAATCCTGCAACACACAAACCCCATGAGCCCAGCTTTGTTATGATGCATCACTGACTCTAGAGAAAGAAACGAGGGTCCAGTCCACACCTGATGAACGCCGCCTGGTCTGACGTACGCTGCGTGCATCCTGGCTCCAGACACTCGCTCGTAAAACTCAAACATCTGGGAGAGGACAAGCATGTTTTCAGGTTCATTACCAATCCAGGCGAGGCCGTCTTGTTGCATTAACACAGCGCGACAGAGCCAGGCATGTTGCTGACCTTCTCTCTCTCCTCAAACATCCAGAAAAAGGGCGTCATGGCGCCGATGTCCAGCGCGTGCGTGGTGATGGCCATGATGTGGTTCAGGATCCGAGTCAGCTCTCCGTACAGAACTGCAAACACAACAGATTGGAACGGACCCGCTTGATTAATCACAACCGGAACAAAGTTATCAACACACTTAAGAGTCCGTTTAATAAAAGACAAATTAATAAAATCATCAAAGCTTAAAAGATGATCGTTGTTCCGAGTTTAACGCTAACTAAGTTTCCATTGACCGCATAGTAGCACAATTTGACATTCATGCATTGGGCGTGAACAGATAAAAAGAGCACCTCTGATCCACTGGGCCCGAGGCGGAGCCTGGATGTTCAGCAGCTTCTCCACAGCCAGAGAGTAGCACTGCTCGTTGCACATCATCGAAACATAATCCAGACGGTCAAAGTATGGCAGAGCCTGATGGACAAGGGAAGAAATCACTAGGAAATATTGATCTAAATGTCAGAGAAATAACCCTTTGTTTGTGTTTTTCACGTTAGAAACGTACGCCGTCAGAAACAAAAACCCCTAAAGCGTTATGCCTGTTGGTCCGTACCTGCAGGTAGGTTTTGTACTCGATGAGCTTTTCAGTGCCGCGATGAAGCAGGCCGATGTGTGGGTCGCACTTCTTCACCGACTCTCCGCTCAGCTCCATCACCAGGCGCAGCACGCCGTGAGCGGCCGGGTGCTGGGGCCCGAAGTTGATGGTCAGGTTGGACACGTCCTTCTCTGCGGGGGGATCTTTGTCTGGAAGGAGACGAGGGAAACGGTTCAGGACTGATGTAGAGGAGGAGAAGAGCAGGCGACAAAAAGGCGGGCTGCTTCGTACCGTTCCATGGGGGAACTTTCCAGTTCTTGTTAAATTCGGTGGGATACATCACCACCCCCCCATACTGATCCATCCACTCCACATCTGGCTGCCATTGCTTCTGCCTGGAACCCAAATGGAACAGGTTTTCTCAATGCCAAGTAAAAGCAAGAGGAGCCCCAACATGGAACCTAGGGGCACCCGCATGCCAAGATGAATATAGGGTGTTTTCATATTTATTTATTTATTTATTTATTTGTAAGGTTTTGTGAACATTTTGTAGTAACAAATATAATTAATAACATGCTATATTTCAGATGTTTAAAAAAATACACATTCTCGAGACATTGTAATAATCACCCAAAACATTTCAAAGGATATTTTACCCTTTATTAATTGTTATTAGTTGTATTATTTTTTAATTTAATCTAGTGCAGTGAGTCACAGAGATCTTGCTCAGCCAATATTTTTCATGTTGTGGAAGTTTGAGATGCTGTGAGGAAGGGCTGTAACATGGGGGTAGCACATGCTAATTTTCTATTCAATAGCACTGCAAGACTAAATAAAAGGGTTCAAGCTCCAAAATTGGGAAAAACAGTGTAAGAAAAGTTAATATTTTCACGTTTTTTGTTTGTTTTGAGGTGGTGATGCTGTAATTAGAGTCGTCCTGATCCAATATTGATATCGTAAATCAATCAGACAAGTTAAAAAAAATTGTATTGGATTTTATCGACCCAATATCAGCATACTGTTTAAAGCACTGTGTTCCAGGATTTAGTCTACCCCAACATTTCTATCCAGCAGCGCAGGGTGGAAATACGAATGGTCAAGGTAATGTCAAGATATATCTATATCTATCTTGTATAGATATAGATATAAATATAAACATAAAATTTAACCACAATATTTAATTAAACCACAGCAGTTTTCATTGTACGTCATATAATATGGTGACATAAGATGTTAAGTCCTGAGTAATGAGTTTATCTCGCCTTGACTATATACTCAAACCAAAGCAAGGCAGGGACATTCTTATTCTACTGACTAATATTAACACTGAGGGGATAGTTGCATAATTACAGAAGCTAGAAAGAAACACTTAGAAGGAAAATGCAGTCTGAAATAAACAGTAGAACATTCCGACAGCTAAGCTTTAATTCCCCCGTGCATGTATGTGTTGCTGTTATAATACCTTGCTTAAACGCGTATTTATCGTTCAGAGTGAGTGTGGATTTGACAGGTTTTTTTGTTTTTACAGAAAAACCTTGTTAGCATAATGTTAGCATTAGCCTCTTAGTTTGTGTATAGAAGCAGCGGAACAAAGCTCACATATCCCGGTGTTTCCTTCTCATCATACCTGTTCTGCAGTAGCGAACAGCCAGGGCTCAATAAGCTCTTGTTGAGTAGTACATTATTTGAAGGACGTCCTCCCAGCCTGGAGAGCGACCTCAACATCGTCGCCGCCATCTTGGCTGTTAAACAACTACCCAGCTCTCTTCTTTAGTTGTTTCCGAGACTTCAGCAAGGGGTTTAGAGCGTTACCGCCGCCTGTCGGCGTAAATAATACATTGCTACTTCAACATTATTTAAGACAGTGGTGTCCAAACTATTTTGCGGTAAGGGGCAAAATTGTGATTTTTTTAAAATTATTTTATCTGCTCAATAACGACCTAAAATTTTTAAGATTTTATTGAAAATAATTCGAAATTCTGTAAAGTCTCCGACAAAAGCCACTGTCATTATATAAACACATGTATTTGTTCTGCATAAAAAGTGTTTGCACATCAGTTTTATGTGCAAGGCGAGAACTGGTTAAAAGCAGACAAAAACATTAAATATCAGGGAAAAAAAACTAAAAAACATTGCAGTGGCATTATAAATCACTCCAATGTGATTTATAACACTACATTGTTCTGACCATTAGTTTCTAGTTGTAATAACTGAAGCTGTGTGCTGACTCTTGATGGTTCTCCTTTAGGTCCAAAAATTCTTACTTCAGTTTTGTTTCTACTTAGTGGAGCAAGTTATAGTACATCCATGAATCAATTTCTTCTATGCATCTGCTCAACGTTTGAGTTGATTCAGTCATCAGGTTTAAACCTTGGAGTATACCACATGTGATTTTTGCCAACTACAATGAAAAGTATTGACACACACATCATAATCTTGTACCTGGATTTGTATAGAATGTCATATTCAGCTTCATCACTTCATAATAAAACCACTAATCTATTAAAAATATTAATGGTTAAACGTTACTTTCAGAAATTATATATGTATAAATATTTGTTGCAAACATGTTGAACATTTTAATACAAAAAAGCAAGCCACTACTCAAATATTTTATTCATATGCTGCAGATTTAAGAGTGAGTCTTTTAGACTCAGTTATTTTTCTCTCCTTTTTGAACATGAAAGGAGACCAAAAAAAAAAACCACACAAGACTTTCTTAAAAAACAGTGCTTTTATTTATGTAATACTGTGGAAAAATAATTACATACCATTTTTAAAAAATATCGAGGATAATGAAATTAAAAAATGAGAGTTTGATAATGTTTGTCGTACATCTTTTTGAACAGCTGTCTTCTGCTACCAACAGTACGATAAGATAAACATTGGATTCTCCTAAATTCAAAGACACGATAATACAGGATACAGTCCTACCAGAGGTATAAAAGTACTGGAACGGCTTGGTGAGAAATGATATGGACGTATACTGAAACACACACACACACACTCACTCATGCTTCTATACAAACACACTGTACAAATGGAAGTGTGCAACCCCAACCCCCAACCACACACACACACACACACACTCACTCTCGCGCTCACACGCTTTAATACATGTCAATACTGCGGACAAGCCTTCATTAAAACCGTTCTCCTTCGGCCAGATTTGGCAAACAATGAGGAATGATTCAAAAATGGAAAATGCATGACATGCTCCCCCATAAGGCCACTCCAGACCCCATCATCCCCCTGTCTACGCCAGGCTTTATGGTTAAAAAAAAAAAAAAAAACAGCGATGTCTCCACCATCAGGAGGAGCGTCTACTGCATACACGTGGTCCTGAGGAACACGAACGTTTGGCACAAGGTTTTCCTTTTTTTTTTTTTTTTTAACAATGGGAGAGTGGGGTGGGGGGGTTCAGGTTCTAGCCGCTGGGGCAGCTCTTCCCTCGGGATCCGCCATTTGGTCCGTAACATCGTACACGATTAACATACATGTTTTACGCTGACAAAAATAATTCTGTAATGTTTAAAAAATAGAATACAAAGCTCTAGTCTGGTGTGCAAATAAACAGAAGACACAACAGAGATATAGTTAAGAGGATGAATACAGTGGACGAAGTGCAACATGATGGACGACCACCCTCCCTCCCCCCACTACCCTCCAACAGGGCCCGACCGCACTGTACACACGGGCTCTCTGGGACACTACTGTTTATGTGCTCTATGATCACTGAATAAGACAACCAGCTAAAAGAAAATTAAAAATGGCGGCCAGACGTGGTTCCCACTGGCCGAGGTTTCTCCCCCTCAGCTTTACGTCAGTTTGGAACGGAGGCCGGGTGGGGTGGGGGCTCCTTGGATCTGCAAGTTCTCGTCCTCTCTTGGCCTGATTGTGACTTGCGCTGTCCGCTCTCACAGAGCTACCGTCTACGAACGTCGGGAGTGAGGGAAATCAGTTTCCCGTCCCTGTCTCTTTAAAACATCTTTCATTTTCACCCTGTGTTCACTCCCTCTCTGTCTCTCTCTCTCTTGGGCATGGTTTCAGGATTTGTGCCTGTGTGTGTGTGTGTGTGTGTGTGTGTGTGTGTGTGTGTGTGTGTGTGTGTGTGTGTGTGTGTGCGCACGCATGTGTCTATGTGTGTTTGTGTCCAGCAGGACATGTACATTTATGGATGTATGTGTGTGTTTTTCGGTGCGACTCTATTTATAAGATGCCTCTTTATGCTCCGCTAACACTGTGAGGGTGGGAGGGGGGAGGAGGGGTCCGGTGTCTCGCTCTCACACGTGAGTCTGCATCCGCTGTGTGTGTCGGCTGTGAGAGTAGTCAGAGTGCTGCGAGGTGTACGAGAAGCGGGTGGAGCTGCCGTATTTCCCCAACCCGGTCTCTGATCCGGAGGGAGCTGGGCCACTGGAGCTGACCCCAACCCCCGGGCTTGGCACCCCGGACCCCACCCCATACATCTCATAGGAGGGGCCGGCCTCCAGAGGGGCCAGGCTGGAAGGTGCGAAGCCCATGCGATAGGTCTGGTAGTGTGAAGGGTAGCCATAGTTGTCGTAGGCCAGCTGAGAAGTGGAGTCCAGGAGGCTACAGTCACCAGGAAAGTCAGTGGCCGCTGGGGTGGGGTTGGCGGGGGGCTGCTGGCTTTGGCCCCCGCGGGTGAATGTGTTGAACTGGGCGTAGCTGATGTGAGACAGTCTGGAAGGCGGCCGGGGGTCGTAGCAGGCTTGCGGGCGTCCGGGCGAGGTGAGAGGACCCGGGGGGACGGGGGCTCCTCCGCTGGCGGTGGCTCCAGAGCCCCCTGTGCTGCTACTGATAGAGGCCGCACCCCCTGGCGTTCCTGCAGGGGAGCGGTAGTCGGAGTAGTGCAAGGTGGAACGGGACCCAGGGTGGACTTCGTCCTGGGTGGAAGCTCGCACGTTGTAGTATCCGTTAGTGGGGTCCTGCAAAGGCAGGTGGAAACAGATGGAAGAACGATTAAGATGATTTCAAATAAATGCTGAGTGTAAGTGTGTTTTCACACCTGATTGTACACCGTACTATAGCACAGTGTTTTCACACTTTACTATCAGTTGTGAAAACACCTGATTGGAGTGTAAAACTGAAATATTTGTTACAATTCCAGCTGCTGTGCTTCTCTTTGTCTCTGCTCTGAGTCAAACCAACCAAACCCTTTGAGAAACCTGTTCCACTCCTCACCTGTGGTGGCGCTGCAGCAAGAACCACTGAAGGAAACAACACAAAACCAGAATGCCCTATAGCCTGGACTTTAGAATCTAACTGGAAAAATAATTTAGGGGGCTCTAATTGTGCTACAACACTTTCAAAATTAGCAAAATGAGCTCTTTTATTAGTGAATTAGCAGAAGTGTGCCCACCACCGTTAAAAAGACTATTTACATTCTCTGCGGAGGACAGCCCGGGTGTCCGTGCTTTTTTTGGAATTTGGCTTTATGTTGCTTTGTAGAGATCACAATATCCTTGACAGCTTTTCTCATACAAACAATTGTATGAGAAAACACGTGGACCTCTCCGTTGCTGTGAAAGTAATCCTCTGCTTTAAGGCTGAAAATAAGCCTTTCAATGGATCTTGAAAGCTTTATTCCAAGATTCTGTGGAATAATTTTTAGGCCTGCGGCTACAACTTGGTAATTTGCTTATCTGTTGTCTTACTCTGGCAGCATTGTGCCAATCTATTTCAGGCGTCTTCCCTCCCTCTAACTTTGTGTCATTGTATAGTGCTTCAGGCAGTGGATGGGAAAAAGAAGAAAAGAAGAAGTACGTCAGAGTGATCTAACCAAACTAGTCCTGGGGTGGATTCCAGTCTGCATTTCTTCCCTATGATCTGAGGCAACACTTCAGCTTCAGGGGTCTGCCTTCCTTTGCCCTCACAGATTATTCTTAGAATGGGAAGGGGGGTTGTGAGAAACATTTTGGCAGCTTGGTGGTTCAAAGTGCTTTATCACAAACCAAAGTGGAAGAGTATTACAGTCTGGTCACGTAAATTTATCCAACAAATTTGAATATCAGATAAAGATAAGTTGAGTAAATATAACAACCAGATTTCAACTGATGATTGCATTTGTAAAGAAAAAGCATAATCTGAACTGAGCTGGCTCTATGTGACAAAGCAAAAAGCCTCCAGACAAAGTTAACAGTAAATACATGAAAACCAGAAATGGCGAACATGGACTGAGTCAAACTTCTGCATGTCACGCTAGCTAGAGGTTCTGCAGCAGCTGCAGCACGACAACGAACCTGTAACCTGCCACTGTCAGGGTGCTAGAGCACCTGGCCTTTATCCTCCAGACAAAAATGGAACTTTCTGATTTTTATATTTTTTACAGTGGTCCATTTCTGGACTCAAAAAAGCCTGTAGACATGTTGAATGTTGTTGTTTATATCCAGAAATGTTGCGCATACACACAACGCAGGAGGACAAAGACAATTGTTTTACTTGCCATCCAGAGGAGAACAATTCCAAAATGAAACCTGGAGATGTGGGTTTATTAATTAAGCTCGATGCCACACAGCAAAGCAAAAATAACACAGGAACTAAAATCCACTCGTATTCTTCTTTCTTCTTGCTCTCTGTGTTGCTATTACATTATACACAACTGACTGACAACAGCTCCTCTAGTTGACAAAGTACATATTACTTCAAGTGTATCAGGATTTAACAAGACACAAAACATTTTCCGCACAAAGAGAAGAACATTCAGTCACAACAGCCACATGGGGTAGTTTTGCTCCTTTGCCCTAATAATTGAAATAATAATTTGAAAAATGTGACAAATGATATATGTCAACTCCATATCAACTTCAGTCCAAATAAAAGGCTGAGGAGTTTTACAGAAAGGCAGCTCACCTTTAGGTCGTACTCCTGACGGGTGTCCAGGGTGTCGCTGCGCAGGTCCGACTTGAGCTCTATGTCATCTTTAAAAGGCTGATTAGAGGGAGAGAAGGACACAGAAGGGAGAAACTAAACCGTCAAACAACAGAACAAACAAAAAGGAGAGGAGCCAGAACAGAAAACAGGAGCGGGAAGGAGGAAACAGAGTATGAGAGAAAAAGAGAAAGAGGAGTTAAAAAGGAGTGAGTGAAGAGTAGGTTGGTGTTTGTTTTCAGTTAAAAAGGTACAGCGTGGTTAGACTGCAGGGAGTCAGGGAGTTATTCTACAGCTACGGGCTGCGGAAACAGATCCCAACCCAAACACAGACGCCCCGCTGCCTGCCGCTCACCGAGTACATGGCCTTGACCATGCGCGAGGCCGTGGACACGCTGCCGGAGTCCTCCTCCAGGCTGTGGGTCTCCTTGGTGATGGTCTCCACCTTGATGTCGGGCTTACCCAGCGTGACACCGCGCCGGCCTGTGAGCGCAAACACACTGAGTGAAAAACAGGCCGGACACACCCCTGTGGAGTCGAGGTGTTTTCATGAGCTGCGGGAACTCAAAGAGAGCCAACATCCCCACACCGGAGGAGGAGTGGACGCCCTTTGACCTCACAGAGAGCATGACTCACTGCCTTTTCTCTGCCGGTAGAAGACGAGAACGAGGATGAGCAGGAAGATGAGGAGGACAATGGTGGAGCACACTGTGCTGCCAGCTACTATCCCCACTGGAAACTCCTCTGTGTGTAATGGGGGGGAAATACACACACACACACACACACACACCACAGGTTAGGAGTACAATCAGGGTGTAACTACTCACTCAAACAACACAGAGTGTGTGTTTCTAGCTCACCATTCTCCTCCAGCGTAATGATCATGGTGCCTGGGCCAAACGCGTTCCAGGCCGTGCAGTTGTAGGTGGACAGGAAGTCCGACTCCATCACGTTGTTGATGGTGAGGGTGGAGAGGACGCCGCCGCCCTCAGCAGCTGGCTTGCTCTGCTCCACTGTGTACCTCTCCAGCAGCGTGCCCTTCTCCTTCTCCCACACATTCTCCTTCCACGCCCACACCTGCAGCGCACACACAGAACGACGGCCTGATGAGACTCAATCAAAGAGAGGCATTCAGATTCAGTTGGAGCGAATTCATGTTATATGCAACTCAAACCCCTTTGAGGTACCTTATCAGAGTATTTGTAAGCCTTTATCCTGCCTGGATTTGGCAAGTGCCAGAAAAAAAGACATTTGCCGTCAGCATTGTGCCGATCTTAAAGTGTGAGGCTCTTTCTGAGGAGTAGGGCGCTGTATGAGCAAAGGCGGTACTTGCTGAAGTATGCATACATCAACTGGACCTGCAACCTGCAGCAATCAAATGTATCGAGGGATTTCAGAGAAATTGACCGCTCAGTGGTAAACATGCAAAATTGGGCCTCTGTCTCTTTAAAAACTCCTACTCTGTCTGAAACTCCGCCTTCAGGAAGTCATCACGGCATGGCTTCTGTATTAACCCTTAAATAACGTTATTACTAGTGTTTCACTGAGATGTAGCTCAAATAATGAGCTCAGCAGATGTGCAGTTCCACCAGGTGTTTGCTAATTGCTGCTGGCTAGTCTGAAGGAGCGCAGTGGAGGGCTGCAGCTCTGAGGAGGAGCTGCGTCTCCAAGGCATACCGAGGTCCACCCAGGCGTTTCGCACAGCTGAATGTTGCCACGGGAGATCAAAGGATTTTCCTAACATGAATGAAAGAATCAAGACAACACTCCAGGTATTTTTTGGATATAAAGTTCAAAAAAGTTGATTTTACATGATACTGTCCCTTTAACGATAGGCACCAGCAGTCCTCCCGACCCCACTATGGACAAGGGTGTAAAGAAAATGGATGGATGGATGTCCCTTTAACGTTCGTGTGTGTAACAGAAAGCAACCCGATCTAGTGCAGCAAGCGTTTAAAGTTGAATTGGTAAGAAAAACCTTAAATCCTTCTTCTGTTGTGTCCGCTGCCTGATGTAATCAGCGGCGGCCGCATGCATCCGTCTCCCTCCAACAGAAACTTTAACAGGCTCTCATGCGAGCGGCAGCAGTGTTCATGTTTCTGCAAGCTGAAGCGCAGCATCACAGTGGGTGACTGAGCTGGCAAGAACATTGCTCATTCTCCACCTTTAGAGCCACTAAAAGCAGCTGTATTATTCAGCACTCAAATACTGTACTAGGCTCAGTTAATTATGCATAAGCCCACATGTTTCTATAATGTGCCCACTTATTGGAGAGGGGCAGAGCAGGGGGGGGAGCGGAACCTCCTGGCTGTGGCGTTTACAGGGACAACTGCTCCTCTCCAGTCCTTCATCTTTTATAAATGTCTTTCTGTCCCCCAACTCCCTCGGTCACATTAGGGAGCGCGGCGCCACAAGTCAGGACGGATCAGTCACGGAGCCGAGGCGGCTGCGGAGCTCCGCGCCGCATCCGGCCTGCTCACTGACGCAGAACTAAAAGCGGACTGACTTAGAGTTGCTTTGTTTGTGTGCTGGGATGGAGGAACGCACTGAGAGAGGGTTCCAGGCTGAGTCACCACTCAAAAAAAAAAAACAAAAAAAAAAAAAAGAAAAGGGGCTAAAAGCAGCCAGCGAGTCATTTAGGAAGGGACAGGAAGCAGTCTAATCCCAACTGCTGTGAGCCTAAAAGCTACAACCATGTGCTCTTTGTGGCCAAAGCCTTTCCTTGTCTGTCGTTGTTCCCAGCTCAATAATTGATGCGTCGCTGAGATTTGAAAGTTTCAACTGAAGGTGCTCCATACTGTTTGCTAAAGTGTCTCGCAAAAGTCTTGAACCCTTTCACACGCAGTCACCTTACAAAGATAAAGTTCAGGGTAATTTATTGAGAGTTTATGGGACAGACCAAAACAAAGCGGCACACAAGTGTGAAGGAGAAATTCTAAACTTCTAAACTAAGTAAGTAACTAACTCACTCTAAACCACTATAGCTACACTACAGTATGATATTTTGAAGAATAAACGCAAAAGCATTACACCAACACAATATTTAGCAGAAGCTAAGGCTAAACCATTTCACCAACATGATATATGATATTTAGCAGAAGCTAATTCTAAAGCACTAAGGCAGTAATTTCATTTCAAATTATGCCTTCCCTTCATATATCTACAGACAGAATCCACCATAGAGCTCAAATTTAATTTTGACATTATAATTTACATGTTTTATTCTACCCATAGGTATTGTATTTATATTTAGATCTGGTTCTCTACTGTTGATGATTTATTTTGTTTATGTATGATTCTTGTTTGAAATAAAGTTATTGAGGTAAAAACATCAAGAAAGAAAACAGAACTGCTGCTTAAACAGTCTTCACGCACTTCAGGATAAGCGCATCAATATAAACATCTAAATACATAATTAATTCTTAATGGTCGATAACTAAAACTTCAATACAGATGTCAAACTTTACTTGACTGAAAGTTTACAAAACAGACAAATAAACTAGTGACTTAGAATTCGTATGGAAAAAAAATGACCAAGGGGAAGCTAAGAGCACTAAACTCTTTCATGAGTTAGCAAAAGCATTGAAGTGCTAAACAAAAAATTAGCTCTGCTATTAGCGCATTAGCAGAAGTGTGCCCACTTCTAAAGAAAGCCATACAAAGCCTGTTTACAGGCAAAGTCACAAAGGAGACACAGCAGACACGTGAAAGGTCATCTGGTCAGATTAGGCCAAATTTGTCTTTCCTGGCCTACATACAAAATGCTATGTGTGTAAGAAAGCTAACACTGCACCCCCTTGGTGGAACACGATGCTGCTAGCATCATGCTGTGGGGATGCTCTTCCGTAGCACAGAAGCTGGTTAGGAAGGATGAATGAAGCTCAATGAAGGACAATGATGGAAGAAAACCAGGAAGAGGCGGTAGAGGAGTTGAAGTCAGGGCAGAGGTTAAGATCAAAGCCTCAGTGTAAGTCCAACTGAGAATCTCAATAGATAATGTATCAGGTCCCTTTCACATAATAATGAACTACTTTGTTTAGGCCTGTATGAAATGTGAAAGGGATCAAATGGTGTAAACTATTCTATTAGGTGCTTTTTACTTACGATCTTATCTGGAGGGGGTGTACTGGCTATGTAGCATTTCACGCCTCCTCTCTCCCCCCTCACAGCGTACTGCACAGGCTCACTGGAGATGATGGGTGGACCTGTGAACACACACAGACCACAGACTCATCAAGTGCAGGGGGTGATTCCATCTTATTTTTACTGTTTTTACTCTCCAGTAACTGAAAAAAAGTTTGCTTTTAAACCCACAGGATGTAACTTTTATAAAAAGTATGTTCTTTAAATATTTGTTAGAACTGTCACCATGTTGTAACAGTGTGTTATGAGACAGATAATCAGGGAAAAGAATTACCTCCTCCATCTCCTGCCTGAACTACTATTGTTGTCTGAAGAAAACAACCAGGAGAGCCTTAGCGCTGTCAATTAACTTCATGTACGTGCCACTAAATGTGCTAATGGGGTAGAAGCAACTTACCGGCCCGGTAAAACTGTTTGTCTACCATCATGTTGGCTATGTTAACTAGTTAGTATTCATGACAGGTTCTACTGTCAGGAAGAAGTTGTAACCTAACAGAGCAGCATGTACATGAAGTGATTGACAGCACTAAGACTCACCTCCTGGCTCTGATTGGCTCTTTCTAGTTCGCACTGGAAGAAGGCACAGGAGTTCAATTCCTTTTTTTCACAGATTATCTGTCTCATACGCCATACTGTCACGATATGATGATATTTTCAACAAATATGTAAAACAATATTTGTTGTAGAACAACAAATATTGTTTTACATATTGGTTAAATAAAGGTTGCACACTGCAGCCTTAAGGTGTGAACTAAAAAGTTTTTTTCAGACCGTTGACTGTGAGCGTGACCTCGGTCTCTCCTACGCCGATCCGCGGAACGATGGCCTTGCACACATACTGGCCAGCGTCCGCCTGGGTCACTGACTTCAGATACAGTTGGTTGCTGTTGCTCAGAACCTGTGGGGGAGGCAACAAAAGAGCAACGAATGTAAACAGAGCGAACAGCAGAGTGAAGGAACGGTCCGCATCGCGTTCTCCGCATGCTTTACTCACTTTAAAGAGTCGCCGTGATCTACTACTCTGACCCAATATGACTGACAATGTAAACTCCCGCTGCAGTTCTTAACCCGTCACAAGGGTTTTATAGTTGCCTAGCAACCACATCCATCAGAAAATGAAGCGAGGAAAATGATGGTTACATAGGAAACCACCCAGAGAGAGAAACACCTGATTATACAGGCGTGGGCGTGAGCCGAGTCGGGACATATTTAGTGGCTCTGATGTGAGGAGGGTTTTCTGGCTTTTATCCAGTTCTGGTCCTGGATGCAGGTCCAATTAAAGCCAGAAGGTAAATGCATCTTAATTCCATCCTAAATTGTTCAGTAAATGCTTCAATCAAATAAACCGACCTATAAAACTATAAAAATGACACATCCACCTTTTTTCCCCCACAAAAAACACTTATTTTGCTTTAGGTCAGTTAGAATGATCAAAATTACCCAAATTATTTCTGTTTGCTAAATGCCACAATAATAAAGAGAAAAAACAAGTGAGGGATTTATTTGTTCATGTCTTAAAAATCAAAAGTTTACCGTCTCCAGATTTCTGGAGGTGCCTAATTCATCTGTTCAAACATTTATACGCAAATACAGACATGATGGGGATGTCCAACCATCATCCAATAGAAACATAAAGAGCCAAATTGCAGTTTGCAGACGTCCAGAGGGACAAAGACCTTCATTGTTGGGGATATATCCTGTGGTCTGACAGAACTAAAATGAAACTGTTTGGCCAGTTTTATTTTGTGACCATAGCTACATTTACAGGAAAAACAGGGAAGATTGTAAGCCTTGAATAGCATCTACAGAAGTATGTGGGTCTAAAATCAATTAAATCAAACTGGCAGTCAAATATTTGAAATGGGGTGTTTTTAAAACAAGATTTTTTTTAAAGGAACTTGAGAAAACCTGGTTATCCTAAATACACATTATGAATATTAATGTCTCTGTCGGGGGCAGACTAAGAATTCAAAAAGCTTGAGTTTAGTTTTTACCATGTTGGATCCTTTCTTGAACCAGGTGAGGGTGAGTGGAGGGTTTCCGGCCCATTTGCAGTTGAGGGTGACATCAGAGTCCACATCGACTGTTTTGGGCTGTGGCTCCACCAGCAGGATGGGACCGACTGGAGGAAGAAATAGGGACAATTATTATGTCTGTGAGCTCCAGCAGCTGTCACGGTGAGGTGAGTGCGGCGTGACTCACAGTGAACATCAACCAGGATGCTGACGTTGGTCTTCCCCACTGCGTTGAAGACCAAGCAGGAGACGGGCTCGGTGAAGAAGGAGTGGTCGGCCTTGGTGGTGAACACGCTCTCCCTGGCGCCCTGCAGCACCACGCCGCCTTTAGCCCACCTGCCGTTCACACAAACACACACTGGTTTTACATCAAGATAACAGTTTACAGGCAACGTTTCCAAAGAAACTCACAAATTTTCTAAACAAACAAAAACAACATAAACTGGAAAACAACATATTCCAGTTCACTGTTTTCCTGAGACATTTTATCTTCACTTCAAAATCTGAATTTTGATCATTTTCCCGTGAAAAATGTCCTTTAATTTTATTCCTGTATTCAACTCCTGCTCCACCAAGTAAAAGTGAACAAGCAGCTGGAACCAAAACATCTCCACCATCCCCGCTCCCAAGGACAAAGCGACCAGCCCAAGCCTCAAAACATTCTGACTCCGTGGGAATCCCACTGAAAAACAGATTTTCTGCACTTCAGCCTGAGCCTCTGAGTGAAACCTCACCTTCAAACATCAACAATGAGGCAAGACCAACACATCCACCCGCTAAAGCTCCAAAGGACAAAGTGACCACCAGGAAAACGAAAGGTATGCCAAAAGTGCTTATTGTTGGAGATGAGGCAGTAAATGGAGTCAGTCATGTTTGCAATCCCAAGAAAACCTGGTGACACTTGGAGTGGGGTACCCCAAGGTTCAATCCTAGGACCCCTCCTATTCAATATTTATGTGCTCCCACCAGCTCAGGTTATAACAGGAAATAAGATTAGCTACCATAACAACGCGGATGATACACAGCTCTACATTACGATGTCACCAGGTGACTCCGAACC